GGACAGGACAGAAGTGTCAGGGACCTCCAGCCATCAGTCAGCTAGGCTGTATCACGTACTCATAGAGAAGACGTGACACTAAGACCACCCTGCCACCCCTTCTGACATAAAGCATATTCCAAGTAACAAGCCTGGGGTTTACCAGTCAGTTAAAGATTAGCTTAATTGGAAAAACTACAAGGTCGTCAGGAGATAGGCCTGAGCAGTAGTAAATTGTAATAGATAGGATCGGACCCTGCTGTCAGGTTAACAAGCAACATAGGAATTCTTACCCCTGACCTCTTGCCCTGTAGATTAGGTAGCCAGGCAACGCAGCAGACCACCTCTTCCACTGACCTCTTGCCCCTGCAGCTGCAAGCACATCCTCCGCCTTTCCCTCCTCAGTTCTCCTATATAAATCCCCTTGTGATGAAATAAAGTTGTCACCTTGATCAGAATCCTGTCTTGGCGTCCATTCCTGTATCCCCTGTCCTCCATCTTTCTCCTAGGTGTCCACCAGACCCACGTTGAATGTCCTGCGGGTTGGGACAAGAAGCAGCAGGAAGGGAAGGCTCCATCATGGTGGGGAAGTCATGGTGACAGGAGTGTGAAGCTGTTGGTCGGGTTGTACCCTGAGTCGAGAAGAAGAGAATGGTGACGAAGAGAGCAGTGAATGCTAGCGTTCAGCTCTTTTGCCATCTGTTCATTCTGGGATCCCAGCTCATGGAATGTCGACACCCACAGTTAGGCTGATTCTTTCCCACTTGCCTAAACTCTTCCCCAGACACCCCAGAGGTCTGTCCCTTAGGTGAGTCTAGACTCTGCTATGTTGACAATATGACTCCTCTCTGTCAGCTCAGTCAGGGTGCCCTGACCTTACTGTCCCCTTCAGGTAACTGTGCCCAATAGCATCCTCCTTCAATTCTGCTTCTAGGCTACAATTTCCTGTCTGTGTTTAGACTTGAGTCCATTCTGTCTGCTCTGCTGGGGCAATTATCACATTTGTCCTTATAGTCTCGAATAAAGTTTTCCAGCATTTCGTCTGTGTGTGAAGAGGGTGGTGAGGGAGAATGTATTCACTGCAAGGGTGGCATGGGGAACGTTTTTGGAGTGATGGGACCATTCTCTGTTTTGATTTGCTTGAAGCTGTAACCTTGAGAGTTATTTATTTTTACATTCATTTTGACATGTAATTTATCAAAAGAGAGGTCTTCCCTGAGTGGAAAGCTCAGAGGTAGGTTGGTGAGCAGGAGGAGTCATTAAACTGCGCCAGTGAATGAAGCCATGCTCGTTGGCCATCTCCTTCACATGTGTCATCTTCTCCCCCTCCTCTCCTCTCTCCCCCTTCAGTATTCCATTATGGGTGGCTGTACTAACTACTGTTGCTGTCACAGACACCATGACTGAGGGAGGCGATGTATAAAAGAAAGAGTTTAATTTGAGCCCATGATGGTGGAGCAAAGGCATGATGGTGGGAATAGTTGAGAACTCACTCTTGGTCAACAAGAGGAGGCCTAGAGAGAAAGTGTGTGTGTGTGTGTGTGTGTGTGTGTGTGTGTGTGTGTGTGTGTGTGAGAGAGAGAGAGAGAGAGAGAGAGACAGAGAGAGAGAGAGAGAGAGAGAGAGAGAGAGAGAGAGAGAGAGAGAGAGAAAACTGTCAATGTAGCACATCTTTTGAAATATCACCCCCAGTAACACAGCTCCTCCAGGGCTACATCTCCCAATCCTTTCCAAGCACTAATCGGGAACCAAGTTTGCAAATGTATGAATCCATAGGGGCCATTCTCATTCCAACCATCTCAATGAGGGAGGGGCTTGAGAGACACCCCTCCCTGGGAACCCTTTGGCAGTTGATGGCTACCTAGAAAGGGGGAATACTTTGCTTCTGTGGTGTAGCCAATGGTTATTTACCCATGCACCAGTATTATAAATAACTGTCTACCCATGTTTATGCAAACAACACTAACTGAATCAAGAGGGAGAGACAGGAAGAGAGAGGGAGGGAAGGAGATATCAGAGCAAGAGGAGAATGTGCTGAGAAGTGGTCAGTGGGACGGGCTAAGAGACAATAATGAGAGTGTGTATGGTAAAAGCACATTATATTCATGTATGAAATTGCCAAAGAATAATAATTGTGGTGGTATGAATAAGATGTCCTCCCAAATTCTTTAAATACCTGGTCCCCCCTTGGTGACACTGTTTGGGGGAACTTAGGAGGTATGGCCTTCCTGGAGGAAATATATCACTAGAGGTGACCTTTGAGATTTCATCATCCCCAGTTTGCTCTGTCTCCTGTTTGTGGGCTGAGATGTGAGCTCTGAGCTGTTTCTGCCAAGATGCCTGGTTGCTGCCATGCTTCTCTGTTTTGATGGTCATGAACTCTTATTCCTCAGGAACCAGAAGCCCCAAATAAATTCTTTTTAAAAAAATCATTTTTTATTTAAATTAGAAACATTGCTTCACAGATCAATCCCAGCTCCCTTTCCCTCCCCTCTCCCCCTGTACCCCCAAATAAATTCTTTCTTATTTAAGTTTTATTGGTTGTGGTGTTTTATCACAGTGATCGAAAAATAATTAATTTAATAATTAAAAAATAATTCCCAACTCATTGTCTTAACTGTCTATCAAAAGAACTTGAAGGGGTTGGAGCGATGGCTCAGTGGTTAAGAGCACTTATTGGTCTTTTTTTTGGGGTGGGGTGGGGTGGGGGCAGGGTATCTCTGTACAGCCCTGGCTGTCCTGGAACTAGCTCTGTAGACCTTGAACACAGAGATCTGCCTGCCCTTGTCTCTTCATTGCTGGGATTAAAGGCGTGGGCCACCGTGACCTGATGCCCTTATTGCTCAACTCCCCACACCCACATGGCGGTCGGAATCATCTCCAGCTCCAGGGGGATCTGATGCCTGCTTCTGACCTCCACAGGCACCAAGTACAACAGCATGATACAGATACACATGTGGGCAAAACGCTGATATAAATAAAATTAATACATCTAAAAAACCAAAACCATTTAGCAATGTAACTGGCAGATAAGGTTGCTAGAATTAATTTGTGTGTGTGTGTGTGTGTGTGTGTGTGTGTGTGTGTTTTGAAAGAAGGTCTCACTGTGTAGCCTTGGACAGTCTCAGATTCACTCTGTAGACCAGGCTGGTCTGGAACGCATAGAGATCCACTTGCCTCTGTCCTTTGAGTGCTGGGATCAAAGGCAAGAACCAGCCTGCCTGGCTTTAGAATTAAATCTTGTTCTCTATTTCTTTACATTAAGGAGAAGGTGCTGAAGACAAAAGATCTCAACATGGACCACAGACTGAGCTGTCGATGTGGACAGTGGCTCAGGAGTTAGTGATGGTTCTGTGCTGCTATGTGGGTGTTGGGATTGGAACCCAAGTCCCCCAGAAGAACAGCCGGGTTTCCAGCCTCCAGAAAGGAGGGTTTTGAAAGCTTTGCTTCTTTCTTGTCAGGCGCAGATTCGTGGGCAGGGTGGGATTCTTTTCTTCCTGGAAGGCTGCTCAGAACCAAATGGTGTAAAGTGATGAATTTTTAAGTACCAGAAACCTCACAGTATGTACTGTCTGGTCAGGTGAGGGCAACCAAGTGCCTTTCATGACACTGCGGCAGAGAAGAAAATTTTCTTCTTTCCTTTCCTTTTTCTTTTCTGTTTCCCTCCCCACCACTTTTTGTGAGTTTGTTTCAGATTCGTGAGTTTGTGTGTCTGAGATGGCAGGAGTAATAAAATCTGTACTAATCTCAGAGTGAGATATATCAGTTCTAGCTGGGCTTCTCATGAAATCTGAATTCCTTTTCATCTTTTAAAGGGGAACTTTGGGAGCTTCCTTAGGAAAATAGAGCAGAAATCTTCCAAAGGAAAACTAGTTCCACATGAGGAGACGTGACTGCTTTTATTAACTTTACCCCAGGTTCCCTGAAAGTCATTTACTGATTGTTGCCTGGACAATACATTGCACAGACACAATTCAAGAGTCACAATTGGCTACAGATAACCTATGGGGCAGAGCACTCGCCTCCCATGTGTGGCGCCATAGGTTTGCTGGAAAAGAATATTCTTGGACATACACACACACACACACACACACACACACACACACACACACCACATAAAAGAAGTCAAGGCAACCCAGTAAGGTAATTTCTTTTTGTAAAATGGGTGCACCACAACTCTTAGATACAGTGAGCCATCTCTCCAGCCCTAAGTGTGCCATAAGCAAATATGGAACAGACAAGCACACTGGGCATGAGACTTCAGTTAGTTTTTATGCTAATGGTGGTGGCTGTGTCTCTTCCCATTGGTGGGAACATGACCTCCTAATCTGATGTGATTGGCTAATTCGTAATCATCTTAAGGAGATGTGGTAGTGAAGTCTCAGGGATGGTGGGCAAATATGCAGATATACAGGGATTTCATTAGATAGGGGGGTTTATAGAATACTGGCCTTTGGTGGGTTAGACACTTTTGACAGGAAAAAAAATCTCACAAGTTCAATTCTTAACATTACACAGAAAACAACAAACCAATCAAAAACCAGTAAACTGCCCCCCCCCCATAAGACCTAACTTTCTCTTGGATTTCATTTTCTTAACAGTAAAGCAAGGTGTCTAAGTCTTATAAGCATTTGAGTTCCTAAGAATTGACATTTAATTTTATTTTTAATTATGTGCATGTGTATGTCTGGGTCTGTCAGACACTAGAAATATCAGGTCTCCTGGAGCTGGAATTATGGGTATTGAGAGCTGCCTGATGTGAGATTTCACACTTGAACTCAGATCCTTGGCAGCAACAGGAACAGCAAGACTTCTAGCAGCTGAGCCAGCTCTCCAGTTCAAAAGTTGACAAGAATTATGTCTAAGGCTCTATGTTGTCATCATACTCACCTAGAGAGACAATTGTCTCTAGCTTTTGAGGCCTCCACTGTACAGTAAAGATAAACACCAGCCTCAACATGGTCTATTGATTGGGGTCTTCTGTCTTTAAGTTCTGATTTTTCTAATTGGAAACTTAGTATCTAGTCCTTTGCAGAGGTTCCCAGTCTTTTCCTGAGTTTCTTCATGGCTGACTTCATCTCCTGGTTCCGCAGGGTGTAGATCATTGGGTTTAGGACAGGGATGATGACAGTGAAGGTGATGGAGACAGCTCTGTCCATGGGGAGGGCAGTGAAAGGCCGGGCATAGACATAGATGCAGGGCACAAAGTGCATGGTGACCACAGTGATGTGGGAGGTGCAAGTGGAGATGGCTTTCCTTCTGCCCTCTCCTGTGTGTGACCTCAGCATTGTCATGATGACTGTGTAGGACACCAGAAGGAAGACAAACCACAGGGTAGAGATCAAGCCATTGTTAGAAATCATTAAGACTTCAAGAGCAAAGGTGTTGGTACAGGCGAGTTTGAGAACCTGTGGTACATCGCAGTAGAAACCATCAACAACATTGGGTCCACAGAAGGGGAGTGGGAGTAAGAGAGAAATCTGTACAATGGAGTGAACAAAGCCCCCCATCCAGGAAGCCACGATGAGGGCAGTGCACCGCCCCTTACTCATGATGGTCACATAGTGCAGTGGCTTGGAGATGGCCATGTAACGATCAAATGCCATCACAGAGAGAGAGAAAATGTCTGCCCCACCAAGCAGGTGAAAGAAAAACATCTGGGTGAAGCAGCCATTGAAGGAGATGGCCTTTCTTATTGAAAGAAGGTCCACTAGGACCTTTGGAGCTGTGATGGAGGAGAAACAGATGTCCAAGATCGAGAGGTTGCGAAGCAGGAAGTACATGGGGGTGTGGAGGCAGGATTCCCAGGTCACAGTGACCATGATGAGGAGGTTTCCCAGCACAGTTGCTGTGTAGACTAAGAACAAGAAAAGAAACAAGACCAAACTCAGCTCTTGGGACTGGGTCAGTCCTTCAAAGACAAATTCTTTAACCCTGCTGTAATTTTTCTGTTCCATTGGCTCATGTTTCTTTTACTTCTTCTGTCACCTGGAGAGGAAATAATTTTGTTATGGAAAAGTACATCATCAAAAACAACAAAAAATATGACTGTGCTTTGGGTGTTATTTTGTTCTAAAAAATTATTACGTTTACTGTGTGTGTGTGTGTGTGTGTGTGTGTGTGTGTGTATGGTTGCATGCCAAAGAACAATGCTGGAGGTCAGAGGACAACCTATGGGGTGTCAATTCTCTTCTCCTACCATGTGGGTCCTGGGTGTTGAATTCAGATTATCAAGTTTAGTGGTAAGTGCCTTAACTCACTGAGTCACCTTGCTGGCCCTGGGTTTGGTTATCTTTAGTGTTCATGTACTTTTATACTCCCTCTACTCCATAGTCTGTCCTTCTTGAGGCTGACCTCTGACCCTTCTCTAACCACCGAACACTCTGGATTTTCCTGGACTTCTTTCCATCAGCACTGAATTATTTTGCTAGTTTTCCTGCTTTAGTTTCCTTTGAAGCTGAGACCACACAAATCTAATTCTCGAGTTTCATACCTAATTATTTGCTAATATATAAGTAAGTCAGAAAATGTCATTGCTTGCAAACATTTTAATGTATAAAATAATCAGGTATTTTTTTCAGAGTAAATAATTTACAAGATTTATTGAAAACTGGACCATTTGCAGCCATTGAATGCGTAAACCTTGATGCATAAGAAGGTCTTGAGAATAATATGGAAGAGAGAAAAGACAACATCTTGAGAGACATGAGCTTTGATGCCTACCCCAATCTTCAAGGTAGGCATTAAAGCTCATGTCTCTCAAACTGGATTGTGGAGAAATGGTGCAATGTTTAAGAGCATATGAACTCTGGAGACTTAGTCTCTCATCAGTGTTATTCGAGCACTGGTGACCACAAGGTTGTAAGGTCTTTATAGACCATAATCACATTAGATAAGCTTGTCCTAGCCCTTTTAGCCTTTGGGACTTTAATATTAAACTGTTTTCAGTAGTGTTGTCCTCAATTTCCAGGTGAGAAAGCAAGGCTGTATTCTGCCCATGACTTAACAGCACTTAGCCCTTAATTGGTCATAAATTCAACTGGTCAGGTTTTGTTCCTGACTCTGAATTTGAGGCTGATTGTTGTTATTAAAAATAAACCAACAACAACAAAAACCAACAACAACAAAAACCAACAACAACAATAACAACAACTCCCTGTGGAGATCAAGAGTTTCCAGAAAGTTTATAGCTGCAGAAGAAAAGTCCTTACAAGTGCTGTGGCTGCTTTTCTGGTAATGGAATCTTCAGTAGGTAGAGTTGAGTGGTTTTTGGAACCCTGAGCCAAGTCTCCCTCTTGCTGCTTTCTGATTTCCCTACCTCTCTGCTGTGTGTTCCCACTGGGAGATTATATGCAGAGATTCACTGAACCATGTGACAATGAACTGCATGAAACCTATGTGAGCTGATTTCTAGATGTTTAATCTCTCAGTCACTCAGAACTTCTACATTTTTCTATCTGAAAGTAGAGGATCTAAAAGTAAAATTTAAGGCTGTTAAGTGTGATAATTCATTGTACTGAATGTTTTTCAGTAGATGTTGTCTCTGGCCATTACTGTGGACTGAATTTAGACAAAAACATCTACTGCTGAGTCCATCTCTTCAGTATTGTCTAGACATATTGATAGAATAATTATCATGAAGCATTGCAGATGTCACAGAAGGGTTGGTGTGAGGAGAGGCAGCCAAAACATTCATAACTAAATAAACAAAAGGCATCGTTAAATAAAGGTGGGCTAGGTGTTCAGCTCATGAATGTGTGTCTCTAGTCAAGGGGTTCTTGCTCTGGGCCCACACTTTAACTTCAGGTCTTTGTAAGGTCAGGGACTATCAGCACTGAATTACAGTCTTGTCCTTTACTGGTTTTCAGGAGCAGCCATTTTCACTGAGGGGAATTTCTGAGACTCTGAAATCCCTCCTTGGAACATTCCTCAGGCCCAGAAGTTTCTGGCCCACTGATTTCCTGTCATAAGAGCTAAATTCGTGCTTCTGGCCTTAAATATTCTAATTCTTGGTGCCCAGAGACAGACAATGCGAACAAATAGAACTTTCAAAAATAACGTTTACATGGGTGTTTATCTCACTCTTGTATGTGATATGATAACTGCAATAGAAAATGTCCAACTATAGGATAGGTACTGCTTAAACATCATTGGAAAAACTCTATTCAAGCAGGTATAGCGAGGTTATTGAAAAGAGGCTTCCACTCCTCTGGGGCTCTCTCCCATACTGTCTGTATGAGTGAATGGGACCTCAGTGTGACAGTCTGTCAGCCTCCTCCCAGATCCACACTTTGGCCTCTATTTATTTCACTCTTTATTTGGGCTCGACCTTGTGTCCTTGGTTCCCACTTCAGGTTCCTGTTTATAAGCCCCATCCCTTTTGTCCCCAACTTGTATGTGGAAAAAAAACCTGTTTCAACAAACCCTTGGGAGTAAGACAGGCTCCCGAGGACGGCTGTGGCTTTGTGGAGGGCCACTCCTCTGCCTTGGCTGAGTGGAGCCTGAGGGTTGGGGTTCTGAGATAGAATGGGGTAGGGGGTGAGGTGGGTGGTGTTCCAGTGGGAGGCAGAGGAGGACCTCAGACTGAATCTTCGTAAGCCCTTCCTTTCTGTCCCTGAACATGTCTTCCCCAGGGGCAGTGAACTGGTGAACCGATGCTGTGTTGTGGCAATAAACCGTTTAGTTGAAGAAAAGAAAAATTCTCAAGCTGATGACAGATGAATCTCTCATAAATTAGTACATGTCCCCATTGCTTGACTATCTAACAATTACCATTGTCCGCTGTTTTGTCCTTTCAACAGGGGTGGGTTAAGGATTAAGTCTGACACAGAGACTCCTCCCCCTGTATCACAGCTCCTCTCAGGGCTTCACATGCTAGAGAAGCCCTCCACCACTGAGCTAAGCTCCCAGCCCCTCTCTGGCTCTCTAGATGCGTTTATTATGCACTACTAAACCACCACAGAGTTATGCTCAAGCTATGATTCCTATTATGTCTCATATTATTCACTTGGTCAGGCTTATAAAGCTGTTGCGGAAGAGATCAATACAGAAATAATATGAACAAAAAGATATAAGGGCAGTTCTGAGACTAGCATCAAGGTCACACCCAGAACATCTTACAGGGCTGAGGGACTTTAAGTTCCCATTGACAGCTAGGGCCACCCAAAGGCAAGAGAGGGAGCATAGACAAAGCTTGAATACTGTGCTGCAGATGAGGAAATGGAGGTGAGAAGAGAAGCCTTTGGCTCCCCCTCCACACTCCCCAAAGTTAACCATCCTGTGCATTTGGACTATCTGGAATTCCTTCTGTGCTGGATGGGGAGTCTTCAGAATGGAACCCTGACTGCAGCCTCTGTGCTGGGTGTTTGGGGCAGTTCAGGTGGTTGAACTGAAGCAGGAAGAATTGCAGATGAGAAGGCTTTGTTGGACCTTGGGCCCCACCTGTGGAAGATCAGTGATTGGGAAGTAGATACACTTGCATGGTGGGATGTGTGTAGCTGAATAACTGTACATGAAAGAGAACTAGGGGATGAGTTAAAAGCACTCTCTTTGCTTTCTGTGTTAAAAAATGTAACAGGACCAATATCCTGAGGTTCTGTAAAGAAATCAGCCTTAAAAGTGACCAAATGGCCAACTCAATGGGCAAACATCAAGCTGACAGCCTTTTATGTTTAATGACAGAAACCAAGAAATGGAAACCAGGAGAATTAACCAGAACTCATGGGGATGTATGTACCATGTTGGAGCATAATAAAGAAACCAGGTGTAAGAAGTTTTCCTTTGCTTGTTTTTGGCAAGAAAAACGGAAACTCCCAAGTTCTCTGTTACCGATACGCTTGAGAAAATGCACTCTGCTGAAACAGGCTTTTGAATGTTATAGTTCCAAAGCTGAGGAAAACCCTCTTCCATCATCCACATCTTCTAACGTGCTGAACTTTCCTGTGTCCTTCAAGTGCCTTCCTTTTCTTGAACAGTGAGTTATTCCCCTCTGTACTGTTCTGGCTTCTAACATTAATAACTATCATCCCACACTGCGAAATCATCACTGACATACACTCCATAGTACTACTTCAGAGTTGGTTATGCATGGACACATGTGCCCAGACATATGAGCAGACACACAAATGTACTAGTCAAGATCTGACTTCCTACTATCATCTCATTAAAGACCTCCAAACTCTAATTCCCATCCAAGAAGTGTAGGTGAGCATTGATTGTATAAACTGACCTTAGACGTTGATAATTTGTCAGGGATTTCTTTTCCTTAAAGAAGACAAGCATCTGAGGGTTAGTACCTTCTCTCTTAGAAGCTCTGAGACTCTCTTCTGTATGGCTTTACCATGCTTCTCCATAGCATGCCTGCCATAGTGCCACTCCCTCAGCACCGAGTCACAACAGAAGAATCAACAAAGATGATAAAACTGTTGAGCATGATTATTGAAGTTCAGTGGCCAGACTTTTTCTTTTGGGAGAAAATTCTGTTGGGAGTTATTATAAGCAGCACACCAGAAGATATGTGCAAACAGCTTGGCTTTGAGAATCTCCAGACATAGGCAGGGGAGGGGATGAATCCTCATAGATCCTGTTCTCAGAGCCCAGGTATCTTTGCTTAATATTCTCAGAGAGAGCCAGCAAGTCTGTGTGTAAGAGATAGGAACTTAGCAAAAAAAAAAAATGAACACAATCCTTTATATGGCTATTTCATCATATCTATTTTTTCTTGTTGATCTACTACATATTCAGAGTTACCACAGAGACTGGAGAACACATTTTCTTTGTTCTTAAGTTTCCATATTAACTATTACTTATTTTTTCGATTTCTCCTGTGTGTGGGAGTGGCACGCCTGTGTTCCAGTGTGTATGCACATGTATGTCAGTGCATGTGCCCATGGTAATGGGTGTGGAGGCCAGAGGTTGTAGCTGGATGCCTTCCTTTGATTGCTCGCCACTTTTCCTT